TTGTGGAAGATGTGCACAACAAGATTCGTAATGATTCTTTGTTGAACAAAACCCGCAAGCAAACATACTCCACGATTCAAACTGTGATCGAGAATTCAAACGTCTTTGAAAGCCGTTCAATCAGGCATCCGGCAAAAGTCAAACGGGAATATTTTGAAAGGGAGTTTTGGAATGTGGACAGGAAGCGCCAAAAGTTGTGCTTCAGAGGATGTGTCCACAAGCTGCCGTCACAGTATACCGAGATTGTCGGCGACAAGACATGGAACACCCTGTCAGAAGAGACACTCGAACGAGCATCAGCTGCGTGGTCATGGCTAATTCACTACAATGATGCAAGACTGGCATCTCAGCATGTTCCCTTGCGTGCTGGGAAGTTTAGCAGCCTTGCAGCCCCTTTGAAGATCTTGAACCATGTCTTGGATTTGACATGCTATCTCTCTCTTGGGGCAAAAACCTGGGCTGCTCTCATGTGGCCAGTGGTCCAGCATGAGGACCAGTCGACAGGAGAGATATATTTTGTTTTGAAGGCAGAGTGCCCGGATGGTTCCAGCGTCAAGGCCTGCTGGATTCATTTGTATGAGCCCCAGTATTGGGAAGTCATCGAAACAGAGGCAGTCTTCTGGAATGGCTTCATTTGCCTCCGTCGTTGTGCTACAAGCTCAGTGTCACTTCTATCCTATATGTTGCAGCATCCCAAGTGACATGTTTTCATTTAGGATTCTGTCAACTGTCGACCCATACAGTAAATAGTACAATAAACTTATATAAGTTTTGCTGTGCTTGTTTTTGCTGACTCGACTGAGGGAAATGTCACAAGCATGTCGGACTCTCGCAGACTGCCAGAATCTCGCCGAGCATGTGATCTCCCAGACTGGAAACGTAGACGAAAAAAAGCGAAAGGAGCTGCAACGAATGCGCCGTCCAAAGCTCATGAGCCTGATCGCTTCTCATCACCTTCCGGAAGATGAGGATTTCATGCGCAAAATTGAGGCTATGTATTCGACAGCCAAAGATTCAACAGAGGATGAGGATGAGGATGACATTATCATGGGGGACTTTGTTGATGAGCTGGTTCTTGACGACCTGCTTGCTGAGGACAAACAGGAATTTAAAATGGTCTCAGACGCAGTCAGAAAACGCAGAATCAAAAGGGTGCATCAAACCTGGCAGGCCATCAAGACGCAGCAAGCAAAGGCCAAGGCAAAGGGCAAGGCCAAAGCAAAGACCAAAGCAAAGGCCAAGCCACAGGCCAAACGGAAAGCCAAGAGAAAGATTTGTCGCCCACGTATGTTGCCCAGGAAGCAACCCGCGCCTCCTGATGAAAGTGGTCAAGAGGGAGCAGAAGGCAGAGTGCCAGCACCTCCTGCTGAGGTGCCGGTGGAGCCGGAGCCTGATAATCACGTGGAGGCCGCGGAAGGCAGAGTGCCAGCCCCTCCTGCTGAGATGCCGGAGGTGCCTGCTGCAATCCCTGTCCCAGAGCCTGATGATCACGTGGAGCCCGAGGAAGGCAGAGTGCCAGCCCCTCCTGCTGAGATGCCGGAGGTGCCTGCTGCAATCCCTGTCCCAGAGCCTGATGATCACGTGGAGCCCGAGGAAGGCAGAGTGCCAGCCCCTCCTGCTGAGATGCCGGAGGTGCCTGCAGTGCCTATCCCAGCACTCGAGCCACGGGAGGTTGCAGTCCGTGGCCCCCAACATCAGCGGCGGCCGAACCGTGTTGACTACCAAGGGGTATGGACACCTGTTCAATGCCCGGAGTGTCCCAAGATCGCTGGTGAGATGAAGTACGACCCGAATCCTGGTGGCACTGACAAAGCAAAATGGTTTCTCCGAGTTCGTGTGACAGACGGCGGTCTCTTGGAAAGATTCGGAACATTTGTTATAGCTTCGATGTGGTTGCCTGATCTGCTGTGTGTTGTGTCACATTACATGAACCCATGTGTGTCTGGCATTGAAGGCGAGTGGAGCCACCTCGTACCCTATCACTGGGGACGTGTGGCTTCCAAGATGACAGAAGCGCAGGCCAGACAACACGTCATTGACCATAGGCCCTGTTGTGGCCCGACCAGGAGGCCTGGCAACAACTAGAGGATTCATCCTGCGCTGCAAAGAAAAGTTGTGTGTCTGTCTGTGTGCTTGCATTGATGGCAGCGGGTCCTGCTAGATTGGAATGCGTCCGAGAGACTGTGTGTTTCTGCTTGGGGAAGACGGATTGCGAAAGCATGTTCGCATTTTCACACATGTGGAATTTGTCACGTGCAAGCACATGGACAATCATTTCGAGTGCCACAACCCGGAAGCCGCACAAACTAGCACATGTGGTTTGAAGCCGTGCGTGCTTGTGACTGAACAGTAGCCGTCCAGAGCAATGCATTTCGCCCCGATCGAACGAGGAGAGTGTTTCTTCAGAGGCGAGCTCTCCCCAATCTTGATCAAAACCGCTTGCGAAAAATTGGCCAAAGCGCCTGACCAGTGGAAACCAGCTGAGAGATGGAAGGAAGTTTATGACGACGTGCCTTGGGAAATCATGGTTCGCTACCTGCGTTACTGGCCACGTATTGGCTCCCGCATTACAGGAGGCCTCAGGCTTCTTCGACGGTACGAAGGCCCCTTCCCGAAGTGTTATCAGGTGGGTGAAGGAGAAGAACCGCTGGAGTTGCCGCGCGTTTCTCTCGTTTGTGATTTTGTTTATGTTTGGAACGACGAAGATGAACAACAACGGCAGTTTGTCCTTCAGATGAAACACCTCTCACTTGTTGCCATCCGTCTCGGTGGTCCGGGGGAACTTCCTGACCTTGATGCTGGAGCAATACCTTTGACCGACCAGCTTTGTGCAAAGTTGGGGTGGCAATAATTAATGGATCTTGAGGCGGGAAGGCAGAGTGCCAGCAGCTGGGAAGGCAGAGTGCCAGACGTTGTCGCGTCACCCAGCTGTACCCTGCTTCGCCTGCACGTGATTCGCTTGACAGTGTGGTCAACGCAGAAAAGCGCAACATCCAGCAGTTCGTAGCCACTTCACGCGATTTGTGCATCCCTAATACTATAAAACTATGGCACTCTGCCTTCTACCCCAAACCCTAAATACTAAAGACCCTGAAACTCTAACCCTAACCCTTTCATTACCCTCAAACCCTACTATGGCACTCTGCCTTCTAACCCCAAACCCTAAATATACTAAAGACCCTGAAACTCTAACCCTACCCTAACCCTCATACTATGGCAAACCCTCTAAAGACCCTGAAACTCTAACCCTAACCCTTTCATTACCCTCAAACCCTAACACTATGGCACTCTGCCTGCTAACCCCAAACCCTAAATACTAAAGACCCTGAAACTCTAACCCTAACCCTTTCATTACCCTCAAACCCCTAATACTATGGCACTCTGCCTTCTAACCCCAAACCCTAAATATACTAAAGACCCTGAAACTCTAACCCTAACCCTTTCATTACCCTCAAACCCTAACACTATGGCACTCTGCCTTCTAACCCCAAACCCTAAATACTAAAGACCCTGAAACTCTAACCCTAACCCTTTCATTACCCTCAAACCCCTAACACTATGGCACTCTGCCTTCTAACCCCAAACCCTAAATATAATAAAGACCCTGAAACTCTAACCCTAACCCTTTCATTACCCTCAAACCCCTAATACTATGGCACTCTGCCTTCTAACCCCAAACCCTAAATAACCCTAACCCTTTCATTACCCTCAAACCCCTAATACTATGGCACTCTGCCTTCTAACCCCAAACCCTAAATATAATAAAGACCCTGAAACTCTAACCCTAACCCTTTCATTACCCTCAAACCCCTAATACTATGGCACTCTGCCTTCTAACCCCAAACCCTAAATATAATAGAGACCCTGAAACTCTAACCCTAACCCTTTCATTACCCTCAAACCCCTAATACTATGGCACTCTGCCTTCTAACCCCAAACCCTAAATATAATAAAGACCCTGAAACTCTAACCCTAACCCTTTCATTACCCTCAAACCCCTAATACTATGGCACTCTGCCTTCTAACCCCAAACCCTAAATATAATAAGGACCCTGAAACTCTAACCCTAACCCTTTCATTACCCTCAAACCCCTAATACTATGGCACTCTGCCTTCTAACCCCAAACCCTAAAGACCCTGAAACTGTAAACCCTGTGCCAGGTCTTCTTCATCCTCGTCTTCTCGGAAAAAACATTAAAAAATGTAGTTTTTTTTGTGTGTGTTTTAAAGTTTTTAAAAAATTTTAAAAGTTGTTTAAAGTCTTTAAAAGTCTTTCAAATTCTTTTTAAAGTTTGTAAAAGCTTTTAAAAGCGTTTAAAAGTCTTTTAAAGTCTTAAAGCTTTTAAATGTATTTTAATGTTTTTAAAAGTCTTTTAAATATTTCAAAAGCCTTTTAAAGTTTTGAAAAGTCTTTTAAAGTTTGCAAAAGTCTTCTAAAAGTTTCTAAAAGTCTTTTAAAGTCTTCTAAAAGTTTTTAGAATGTTTTTTCTTGCATTTGAAAGTTTTTAAAAGTCTGTAAACGTCTTTAAAATCCAACTCTGTCGAAAAAGCCCTGTGGATCTAAACCTTGTGGTTCTGGTTCGGTGCAAAAGGGCAATGATAAATAGGCTTTTGGGGCCCGTTATACTATACTTACAATAAGGTAACCCCAAGAGAGTCTAAGTAATTATATAGCCCCCCCTATACTATAGAAACCTACTACAGATCCCTTTAGGCCCCTATATTTTCCTTTGAGCAGATGGGCACTGGCCGCGTTCACATCCCAAGCCGCAGACCAGAAATCCCAAGGCTTCCCCTCAACCTTGACCCCTAAACTCTGAATCCAGGCTTGGGGCATAACTCTTCAGGGATTCGAGCTTTGAGTTTAGGGTTTAGGGCTCAGGATCCTGCTGTCTTGCGTTGCGTTGCTGTCCATTTGGGTGAAAGCTTCCATGCTCAAGCCCAACCCTCTCAACCCTAAAAGCCTACAGCCCCAAACCCCACTACTGCTGAGGTGACACCCACCATCGCAGCATTTCCAGCCCGTCCGTGCGACCCAGCGCCACCTCCAGAATTTTCATAAGTGATTCGGGTTAAGAACCTGATTGAGCAACTGTCTTCGTGGGAAACTGAACAACTCTTTCGGTCTAAGTACGCCCAAATGAGAAGACCTTTGTTTAGAAGCTCCTTCAGTTTTGGGGTATATACTGTACTGTAACTATAGTAAGGAGCCTCAAATTAGTATCGGTAGTTGTTTAGGTCACTATAATTTCCCCAAGGAGTTCCCGCACAAGGGAAGGCAGTGTTCTGTGACCCCGTACTTGGAGGATCATCATGGGACATAGAAAGTAAGGTTAGAAGTAACTTAATTGGGGTTATAAGTAGTTAAAAGTATTGTTACCCTACTTATAACCCTAGTTACTAAGTCCCATGACCCTTTAAGTACTCGTCCAACCGAGCCGACCCGCTTTCCATCCCGAAGCCAAAAGGCGTCCAGGCTCTCCATGTACGAAAAAGACCTCAAGTACTAATTATAAACAGAATACACGTGTGTATATATATATATATATGTACATATATATATATATATATCTACACAGAATACAATGTAATGTGATACGATTATATATCACATAATAGAGGCTCTACAGGTCAAGATCACAATGGGAACTTCAAAGCCTAATCTGAACCTTTACACCGTCCAGCTCGGCTCGGGGTCTAACCCCTTAGCTCTTTTAAGACATTTCCCTAGAACAGCACGACAATGAACACCTAGTAAATCTAGAACCTAGACGCCCTAGCCCTGCGATCTCAACCCGCAGCCCTAAACCCAAGGATCTAAACCCTCAGCCCTATCAAAGCTTCTTCCCCGAGCCACTTGCCCACAGCTCCAGAGAAACCCTGTTTGAGCCCTGAATAGCAAGATGTGGAAAACGCCCTCAAACAGGGAACCCAACTGTTGGGAACCATACTATGCTAATCTCTCTGCCAAGCCCACCCCACACTGAATGCGGCATGCAGTGGGGCACCGGCAGCACTGCGGGGGCAAGAGGGTGCGACGACTTGCTGGGGGCGGGATCGAAGATACGGACCTTGACGGCGCTTGGATGTATCTTTTTCTGTATCTGTTGGAAAAACGGCAGCCGTTTCAAGGCTGTGTAACGGCTTTTGCAAAGGCTTTGAAAAGTGTGAGGGAGCCCGGTTTCCAATTGTAGGGCTTCAGGTTCAGCACAAATGCCACAGATTTGGGTGTTCTCTGGTGTGAGGTCTCGGGGTACAATAACTAGCAGGTAGGGTGTTTCACGGCTTTAGTTTCAGGAGAAAAGTCCTTTGAGGTTCAAGGTATGTTGAAGCTTGTGGGTTCACAGAGTTTGCGATGGCAAGTCCAGTGCATAGGATGCTGTCACGTTGAGTGTGGGGATCTGGGAATGCTTCTGCTCTGCTCAGGTTTTTCTCAGGATTCTATTCGACTTTGGCGTGCAAATCATGGGAGTCCATGCGACTGGGGCTTTTAAGTTCGCCGTCGATAAAGCGAAAAGCTGCGCTCTACTTGTCTAAAGCTAGACTTACACCTTAAATCCTAAACCTACTCGAGCTCAGGCGAGCGTGCCTCTCGCACGCGAAGACTCTGCGATCTTTGAGTGGTTGTCACTCTGGTGTTTTTTAGCGTTACGCCTCTGGAAATGTGCCCTAGACTAAACTTACCTTCGGATAGTAGGGAATGGAGGAATGGGGTACAATGATAACTACCATTACTACCATATTACCACCGTACTACTATCATATAACTACCATATTACTACCATTATAACTACTATTACTACCATTCTTCCATTCCCAAACCTAACCCAAGGTAAGTAAAAGAGCCCCTGCTGCCGATCAAAAGCACTCAAAGCGAAGCCTTGACATACCGGAATTCAGACTTGGGTGGTTGTCAAAATTGGGGTCCCGTCTTGGCACCCTATATATTAGGTGCCAGGACTCAAAAAGGAACACTAATTTTGACAACCACACACTTGGGGATTAGGGCTCAAGTGCATAACAGCAGTGAGACTAACCGTACTCATGATAGGGCGGCTGGAGGCGCCGAAGTATCGATGCTAGTATAGGAGCCTGATTAGGAAACCTTGGGCCTTTACTAGCGTTCCTTATATGAACCCTACTATCTTAGGTTTATAGGCCCAGGGTTTCCTAATCAGGTTCCTACATTATCAAGAGCTCTGCAGCAGAGCGGCCACCATCCCCACCGGCTAGTGTTGGGGCCTTAATAATTACCTATACTATTTTCGGGTTCCTTATGATAAGTACAGTAGAATATACCCCCCAAAACCCTGTTCTAGTTATTGAGGCCCCTGTAGTATGTCAAACCATGAAGCAACCTGGCCTTCCTCTGCGAAGACGAACATTGGAGCTCCCGTAGGGTTTTGCGCTTTCAACAGGTTCAAGATCAGGTACTGACCAGGGTACAAAGGCGGCTCGAAGAGGATGCACCAGCAGGCAGGAAGACTAAATCCCTAAAAACCTAAACCCATGTTTTGTAACCGTATTACCTGACGGATCCTTCCAGCGATCTTGGAAGCATGATCTGAAGGTGCGTGCCGTTTATGCCGACGGTCGCACCGCTGCTGTTACTACCGAAGGCTACGTCTGCTGGCTCTGATACTGCTGAGAACAACGAAACACGTCAACGGTCAATCTTGATGATGCTGACTGTATGATTGTCATGAGTATTGTGTTTGGTCAAAAGTTTGTTTGCAACGTCTGATTCTCCAGAGATCAGCAGAGACACGGTGCACTTCGTCCGTGCCAGTATGGCGTCCTGTTCGTTGCATCCGGATTGTACTATTTGAGGATTAGAACGGCAAACAGAATCTCAGAAGGCATTGGCAGAGGGACATGCTCTCCAAAACCTAATCCCGAAATTTTACACCCGTGTTCGCTTGCACCCTTAAACAGGGTTTAGCCGCTTTCAAGTGCTGTCGCAGCGCATCGAAAAAGGGGGCCGAAACAAAGGGTTGACGATGGTGTTTCAGGCTTGGGGGTGCGCTGTCGGGGGCAAACGGTGCTGGGGTCTAGGGACTTTGTACACAGGTGGGTGGTTGTCAAAATTAGGGTCCCTTGTTGGGTACCCGAAATAATAGGTGGCGTATTATAATAGGGACCCAAAAAGGGACCATAATTTTTGACAACCACCCAGGTAGGCTTCGGGCTCTAGCGTGAAGAACAAAGGGCTACACACAGCCCCCAACCCTAAACTCTCAAGCCTGAAACAGCTTTACAGAAGCTTTGAAGGAGCGAGGTATCGATTTCTATACTCCCCGGAACTATTTATAATAAGGGTTCTGCATTTAACAATACGAGAAAATTACAACTTGCCTGAACCCTAAACCCCAATCCCCAACCCTAAAGCAACCTTCTTCCTATGCCCTAAACCCATCAGAAGCAAAGGAAAATACTGGGTTCGCGTTAAGGGTTTAATCTAAGCTACCATCACACAGAAACCATATTACTTGCTATAGATGCCGTTTATGGTAACTTAAATCAAATCCCTTAACAAGAACCGAAGAATGGGGGCTCGCCGCCCGCCCCTCCCTTCGGAACTTCCTCGAAGTCGAACTCGTCATTCGAGCCGAAGGAGTAGACGATGCAGCTCGGCCTCGAAGACGGAACGGCTTCTTAGGGCTGATGGACAAAATCCTGCATTACCCATTAGAAGGAATATACCATAGTTCCCATAGTTTAGAGTTCTTAGGGTCATGCAGGATTTTGTCCATCAGCAGTAGGGTTTTCCAGTGTCCTTCTGGGGTTTTGGAGATTAAGGACTTTAGGGCTCAGAGCTAGCGGTTTCAGGGTTTTAGGGCCTAGAGTTCAGGGTGCAGAAAAGAGCCGGGGAACCCCAAGCAAGTAGGTGTTGCGGGTTTGAAGCTCTGGGGTGTGGGGTGTAAGGCATGCGTTTGGGTGTACGTCGTATGCTAAAGGCTTAGAACGTTCATAACCTCACAACACGAGTTGTAGATAATTCCTAAACTACAAGACAAAGGAAAGTGCGTCTGTGTGTGTGTGTGTGCGTCCCTTCTAGGAGGTCGCCGTGGCAGATACGCGAGCACGGAGCTCAAGGAAACTTCCGAGTCCTGCACCACGTCTTATGCAGTGGCAATGTCTACTCCTCACGGACTAAAGCTTAGGGCCGAGCACTCAGGGCTTAGCGTGCTTCGGGCTTCAGCGGTTTGGGGATTATGGCTTTGAAGGCTTAGGGCGTAATACTTGCTTCCTTTTGGACACCGGCCCGGGCTGCCGGTCCGAAAGCCCCCCCTCAATCGGGATCCCAAGGAAGACAACACCTTTTAGTCATAAAATTGCAAAACTCTTTTTGTGGCTTTCGCTCGTTGTCTCTACTTGAAGGCTGCTAGAAGGCGGCCCTGAAGGAGCTGGAAGCGCAGCTTTCCTCGTTATTAAAGCTCATGGGTAGAAGTAGGGAAATTCGTGACGCCGCCACGGTATGTACGGCCGTAGTTCTAGCCACCCATGAACCTGGAAGTAGCTCTTTCCCGCTCCCCTGAACCCTCCGTGTCGCCTCCGCTGAAGAATTTCTAAGCCGCAGAGACGGTATCCTTGTTGCTTGTAGGTTCGGGGGTAGCTATGAGTGGAATTATATGTAAGGCAACTATAACTATCACCCATATTAGGGACTCATAAACTCCCACAGGGTCTGGGACCGGACGTCTTCGTGGATATGGGAGCTTCAGAAAAGCGGGGAGCCTCAAACCTAAGCAACGGGATCCGTATGATAAGGACCCCCACGTAAGACACGCTAGTTTTCTAAATCCCGATATCTAAATCATCACAGATCCCAATTAACAACCCCAAATGCTGAAGCAAGGACGATCTCGGCTTATGCCAGGACGGTACTCTCTTTGGGATCCTTTCAAGGTGTTGGGATGATGCCATCAGGTGGTGCCCGATTGCACTTGTGGAAGCCTTGTGGATTCAAGGCTTCAGGTGCAAAGAGCACAGGGAACTCCAGAAAGTTGGAATATGGATTAATGGTAGGATCCCCCATAATTTACCTTAAAGGGGTTACGACAATGATATTCCAACTTTCTGGCTTCTATTCTACTGTAAGTGATTGAGGAACCTGCTCCCACGCCCACTACTCTACATGTCCAAGTTTCGAGCCTCAATAGCCTTACGAAAAGCTTCAAATGCTTGTGACAACTTCCAAACCCCATCGAGCACTACCACCTCAGACAGCCCCTGCCCCACAGGTAGGGAATATTTTGTGAATGAAAACACATTTTTTTGGAAGCCCTGTACCGTTTCAAGGGGTGAGTTCAGGCTCCGTGGTGAAGATGCCATGGAGACAGGATTGGTCACCCTAAACCCTAAACCTTCGGTGCTCATGGACTGCAGCGGTGCGTGGGTCTTGGAAGTAGCGGGGAAGGCCCGAACCCCCAACCTCCAAACCCTGCAGTGCTGAACTCCGAGCAGCCGTAGCCCTGCTCGGTTCCATCCGGCGTTTCCTTAGGGCCAACATGTGCAACGAAATCATGTGGGCGTTTAGGAAATTAGAGATCTGAACGCAGACACTGAGTATTAGGGTCGCCAGTCCTTAAGCTACGCAAGGTGGACAGTCCTGCTGAGCTTGATTCTACAAATGCGTCGGTGTTGAACAAGAGCGTTTACGAATAGCCCTGCTAAGAGTGACCCATGATGTAGACCCAAAGAAGTTGGATCCACCAACCTTGCCAAAAGAGGTCCCTCATTGCCAGAAGCTTAGACAAATGTCCGGTAAACCCTAAACTCTGTACTTCTTCTCGGCGTAAACTAGTCTCTGATCCGAACCCTAAGCTCTTCTTACAAGATCAGAAGAGGTAGAAAGTGACTGGTCCTTACCTACTTGCTAAGTCCTGTCATTCCTGACGTGATTAAGTCCCCAATTCGTCTTAAAATACTGTATCTCCTTGCGAAAGCGACTACAGAATACGTCTGAAACTAACCGAGCACATCAAACTTCGAGAAAAGGCATCAACAACCTCGTCACAAGTTGTCCAGGGTTGTCCGGTATGGACAGAATTGAAAAATGGACCACGTTTAAGCTTATGGCATGCCTGATGGGGCTGGTGGTGCATTGGGGAGGGGGTACATGTACGATCCAGGAATATGTGAAGACATGTACAGAAGCAGGCAGAGAAGCATTGTTACTGCCTTCTATGTCAAAGGATTGTGTATCAACATGGAGATGGGCCAGGAAGCTCAGGAACCGGAGGCGGGTACAACATGTTCTGCGCGCATGTCCACGTTTAACACTAGTAAACCCGACGGGACTTGCTGTTCGCAGATTTTCGGCTTCACAATGGCACAGTACATACTGCGGCAATTGAAAGCTGGTCAACCGTTTCAACCACTTTTTAAAAAAAATACTCGGTCGTCCGAGTCGTCCTTTGGTGTTTTCGTCTCGTACTGATTTAACTTCGTCTCGGCGCATCCTCTATGATCTTGTGCTACATTGTGGCGTAGTGTCTTAACGGTACAATGCTGGATACTTCACCGTACTCGGTTCGTGTTGGAGCATTCAGTACATTCTGCTACCGCCATCATCCCGAAGAGTACTGCAGACAAGAAGGGCATTTGCAACACAACATGTGCAATATCGTACTCCCCCTGTTCTGGGGCACAATGATTCAACCTATCGGAATGTTTTTGAAGAAAAATTAAGGGGGCCCGACCATACAACCCTGTAGTACTTTTAATTTGGACCCTATGCGAGAACCCTACGGCACCCTTATCAGTACCCTTTGTTTTGCTTTTTTCGCATCAACCTCCAGAGTCCGAACCCTAGACCTCAAACCCTGAACCCTGAGACCCGAACTCCTGAACCCTACCTAGACCCCCAAAAGTAAGCAAAGCAATAGCCCAAAACGTATAAAAGGCTACTATTCTACATACTTTTAGGGTCCAGGTAAACCTTAAACCCTACGCCCTAAGCTAAACCCTAAACCCAACACCCCCAAGCCCAGCTTCGGATGGAAGCCATTCTTCCTCGAAGAAGCAAGGCCAAAGGCCGTGACCGAACTCGCCCAGTGCCTCTAGATCTGGGACATGTGTTCCTTTAGAGCTCATTCTTGTAAACATATTCTTTTGTTGGGGCTCATTCTGATAGTTCTATTGCTTTATTTGGGTAGTTATATTCCGTATTGGGGTCCAAGCTTGCAGTTCCATTCCTTTATTGGTACTGAAGTTACAGTCTCAACTAACCCCCCCTCCGACCAAAACCCTTGTCTAACTAGTAAGGCCCCGGTAATAGCTGGAGATGGTGTCAGTTTCGGGCCTTGGGCATACGGCGCTGACGGTTTACAGGTGTACAGGGTCTACAGGGTGCTTCGGGCTTCAGGGTTTCAGGCAACTCGAACCCTAAACCCCTAAACCCTCAACCCTAAACCCCTAAACCCTAAACCCTAAACCCCTAAACCCTCAACCCTAAACCCCTAAACCCCTAAACCCTATACCCTAAACCCCTAAACCCTAAACCCCTAAACCCCTAAACCCTCAACCCTCAACCCCTAAACCCCTAAACCCTCAACCCTAAACCCCTAAACCCTCAACCCTAAACCCCTAAACCCTCAACCCTAAACCCTCAACCCCTAAACCCTCAACCCTAAACCCCTAAACCCTCAACCCTAAACCCCTAAACCCTAAACCCCTAAACCCCTAAACCCCCAAACCCTCAACCCTAAACCCCTAAACCCTAAACCCTAAACCCCTAAACCCTCAACCCTAAACCCCTAAACCCCTAAACCCTATACCCTAAACCCCTAAACCCTAAACCCCTAAACCCCTAAACCCCAACCCTCAACCCCTAAACCCCTAAACCCTCCCCTAAACCCCTAAACAACCCTAAACCCCTAAACCCTAAACCCTATACCCTAAACTCCCATGCTGTTTTCGACTCTAAGGCTTCAAGGAAGTGCTTGGGAGGATGGGGTGGGGTCGGGGAACAGGCGAGCTATCCATTACCGAAGACGCACTCAAACCCTACAGCTTAAACCGCTTTTGAGGACGGACTACTTAAAGGATCTTGGGACTTAAGTGGGGTTATTAAGGTAACTGTACTTATGTCTACCAAAAACCCAATTATGGGACTTATAACCTTACTTACTAAGTCCCATGATCCTCCAAGCAACCTAAACCGCTGAACCGCCAAACCCCAAACCCAAACCCGACACGAACGATGCTCTCCAAGCCTACTTAAGGGATCATGGGACTTAGTAACTAGGGTTATAATTAGGGTAACTATACTTATAACTACTTATAACCCCGATTAAGGTACTTATAACCTTACTTACTAAGTCCCATCATCCTTCAAGTAGAGGAACCTTGGAAGTCTCATCAAAGCACAGGGTCTGGGGTGTAGAGCTTGGGGTGTGAGGGTTCCGCAAGAATCCCATGGACACCGTAAACCTTTCGGCTAATAGAGAACGCCTATCATTTGCCATCGATTTGAATTTTTTTCGGGATCTATGGTACGGTTCTGGCTACAGGATTCTTCTTAAGCTACCACGATAAGGAAGCCCCATGACTTACCAGAGGCCTTACTTGAGAGGATATCCCTATCTTGCTGGGCTTCATTATAAGGGGGTTATATGAGATATCCTATCCTAATTTTCGCTGATGTGCTTTTTGGGGCCCTAATTGTTAAGGATCGGTTCATCGGCTCCCGGACGGTTTTGTAGTCACCCAGGAAAGTATCCCGAATCATGTTAGTCTTCAAAATCATGGCCCCTTTTTGGGTACCCTAAATATTAGGTGCCGTACTATAATAAGGACCTAAACAGGGACGATAATTTTGACAACCATGGCCCATGTAGGTTCTACATGTAAGTTCTTGAAGGAACGCCCCCTCTTGTCGTGCCTTTTTCTTCACGGAGGAAGAAGCCCTAAAGCCTCAACCTTATAGTCTCACGTGCGAACGAGCTCGTAGCCTCAAGGAGCACTGGGCCCTTCCCTCGAGAATCATTGCGCTGGTACCGATACCTTGGAGGCCGACTGATGAAGTTCATGATGATAAAGACGATATTGGTGACAATTGTTACTGCTTGTATCGGTGCTGTTCTTAATGTCAGTATACTGTTGTCGCTTCTGTTGACATCACGGCAAAAATGATGATGACGACCTATGACAGAGTACACCCAAATCCGCTGTCAAATGATGCTGGTGAGGCTTGAGAGGTCACCGCGCGAGGCTTTTGAACTTGAGTGCTGATTTGGGTCACAGTAGGTCGACAATCGTCGCCAATGCTTCGGCTGCAAGGACTATTCTGACAGATTTTCTGCTCATTGTTGTTGCTGCATGGTTCTCTGTGCTGTTGAACCCTTGAACTCTGCAAAAGTATACTGCTGCGACCACCATCAACCAGAAACAAACACACATATCCTACTCTCCTGGACACGGCATGGGAACCTAGCACAAAGGGGGGATAACCGACCGCATACATATTTTGTAGTATCTTACAGCACGTTCCACTATGCTATGACATAGCATACAGTAGTATTGTATAGCGTCGAATAGTATGGTATAGTACAAGGTAGTATAAGAAGCCTTTATTGCCTGCTAGAGCGTAATGTAACATACCATAATGTGTCAGAGTATATGACATTTCAGAACATGTTACAATACATCACAGTGCATCATAAGATGTCGCTACAGTTACAACATGTTACAATATGTGATGACAAATTCGGATACGGTTGAACCCATGATGACATGTTACAGCCTGTTGCGAATACACACGAAACATGTTAAATTGCATTTTAAGATGTCGGAGCAGATGCAACAGACTGTGGCATGTTACAACATGTTGTCGCATACTTCAGCATGTCATGATGTGATCTGCCATGTTATATACAGCCCAGCTTCGCTTGCTCTGCCAGGGCCACGTTCCTCGCAGAAGCGGTTATCAAAGACACGGCGGCAAGGACCACGTCGCGAGCCATTGCGCCAAGAGAGGGTTTACGTTTTCGTGTTTAGGGTTTACGGTTTTGGGGCTTTTGGCTCGGGGTTGGGGGTTTGGGGTTGTAGAGCTGAGTTTACGGGTAACGCTTGCTGAAATAGACCGTGTGGTACATCTGACCCACCAAGGATTGCCGGCCGAAGACCCATTCCAAGCCCGCTAGTGCCATAAGGGTTCAATTTTTTTTCAAGTGCAGGTTTTAGGCATTTTAGGCTGTAGAGTTCGGGATTTTCAGTGCAGGTCTGGCGGTTTCCACGGGGTTCCAACCGCAGGATGTCTTGGGCGGCATACAGTGGCTCTATACCGTCTATACCGGTCGATGCCTGCTTTCTTAGAGCTGTTGCTGAGTTCATAAGCCCCCCCAAAAGTTTACACTTTCAGTTTTATAGTGGGTAGTATTATCCCAAAGAAGTGTAAAGTGTGTCCACCCAGCTACTAAGTTTAGAGCTGTTGCTGGCTTCGGTGTCAGATGTCTTCGGTTCTCGGGCCCAGCTTGAGTGGTTCGGCAGCTTCTCAGAGAATACGCGAGTACTTAAAGGATCATGGGACTTAGTAGTAAATATAGAAATATGGGCCCCCAAAACCCTACTCTAATTATTGTAAGGCCCCAATATTACAGGGTTCCTGTACTTGGAGGATCATGGGACCTAGTAACTAGGGTTGTAATTAGGGTAACTATACTTATAACTACTTATAACCCCAATTAAGGTACTTAGAACCTTACGTACTAAGTCCCATGATCCTCCGAGTAGTGCAAGTGATGGGGCATCCCATTTGCAGGAGTGTGATGGCAAAGAGGCGAAGCCTCAAGAATTTAACATCTGTAGAGTTTGGGCTTAAGGCTTCAGGACAAATTTTGAGGGATTGCGTCTTGCTTGCTGCAGGGAGCCGGTGCTCAGATATATCTATGCGACAGGAATGGCTATAACACACACACACAGAGAAGCAACACAAGAGACCGGTCATCAACAAAAGCAGAGGATCCTTTCTTTCGGAGACATCGATGGAATCTCAAGCGATGGGTTTTGGAAACGCAGAGCTCTGGAGTGATTGCTCGAGCTCAAGTGGAAGCGCCCGCCGCCAGCAGTACTCGCCGGACTTCATCGTGGCCGCATTCTTCTGCGATCATGAGGGCCGTCCGATCTTCACTGTCACGCAACTCAATCGCAGCACCGGCCTCAAGGAGCAGCTGAGCGACTTCAACACGACCATTGGCCGCAGCAAACATCAGCGCGGTCCGGCCGTCGCTTTCAGTTAAATCCTTCTGGGCACCGGCCTGGAGGAGCAACCGTGCGACCTGAGGATGACCTCTGATTGCCGTAAGCATCAGCGCTGTCCAGCCGTCATCGTCCCCGAAGTCCACCTCTGCACCGGCCTCCAGCAGAATCTCCACGATTTCAGGATGATCCTGCTTGGAGGGTCGGGGGACTTAGTAAGTAGGTAGTAAGTAGACTTATAAGTACCCTAAAAGGGGCTCTTATTGGGGTTATGGTACTTATAAGGATGATCCTGTTGTGCCGCGAGCATCAGCGCTGTCATGCCATCCTCGTCACGCATCTCCTTCTCAGCGCCTCGGGGCTTCAGTCCCGGCTCCCCTTAAGGAACCCCACTTAAAGGATCATGGGACTTAGTAACTAGGGTTAAGGGTTATAATTAGGGCAACTATACTTATAACTACTTATAACCCCAATTAAGGTACTTAGAACCTTACTTACTAAGTCCCGTGATCCTCCAAGTACTGGGAGTGGGCTGGGTTGGGACCCGAGTAGGGACCATGATTGAGAACAGACCACACCTGACGTTAGAAGCAAGCGCACGATGTGAGAATGACCACGGACTGCCGCACTCATCAGCGCACTACGGCCGGAAGTGCTCCGCAAATCCTTCTGAGCGCCGGCCTCCAGGAGCAAACTCGCAATATCCACGTGGTCTGTTTTCAGTGCTGCCCATATCAGTGCTGTATGTCCAGACTCATCTGCAACATCTGGATCCACAGGGAGCTGCAGCAAGTCTTCGACCTCAGGGCATCCAAGGTGCGAGAGGCTACGGACAGGGGAACCGCGTTTAGGATACCCCACTCAAGGTACTTAAACTTCTGCTGGTGACTTACTTCGGCCCTTAAGTACGGTTCGAAGCAAAGAAGGCACCGAGCCTCACCCACGCAGCCGGACAGGGCCGCATCAGCGAGCTCTCTCTGCCTGCTCTGGGAATCTTCGAACGACAATATCAAGACCTGCAGATCCATCGGGGTGTCCAGTTGGACGCGATCATCCAAAGTGTTGCCTTCGTGAAGAAGCCTTTGCCTGAAGCGTGGCGGCAGACCGTGCTGCTGATGCAGTCGCTGCTTCAAGGCCTTCACATCGCTCAGCTCTGTAAGGGGAAGGCTCGTCAGCTCTTCCCCGGAAAGCGGCGTGATGCGCAGCATGGCCATGTTGCGGCAAGCACGGACCAACGAGGCTTGGGTCCTACCCTCAGGTCTATGGTATTGAGCTTTTACGCGCGGGCTGCGGGGCTGTGTCGCTGGAGTAAACAATCTGAAAGGCCCCAATCGGAGGCTTTGAGCAGTCGTGAGAGTGGCTACGAGCGTAGGGCGCCGTACAGCTTTAGATGGCTTTGGAATGCTTTATCAGACTCAGCGTGGCAGCAGCTGCGGCGAAGATGTCTAATTGCTGGCTTCTCTTGGTGTTTAGGGTTTAGGGCTTACGGGTTTAGGGGCCTGAACAATTGCCCTCGAAATTTTGGGGGTTCCTGATAGTCTATTAATAGAGATGTAGAAAGATCAAGTCATCAAAGAGACAAGTAATAATGATAAATAATAGTAACTATACTAATAATAATAGTAAAAATAGTAATAATAGTAATAATGGTAATAATTATCATAATAGTAATAATAGCAAATAATAGAAATACTCATGGTAATAATAATAATAATAAAGCCAGCTCAGACTCACAGCCTTTCCTGACCCCGACGGGCCGTAGCTTTGCAGGCCGTGTCGCTTTCCAAGGCTTGCTTTGAGACCAAGATGTGAGTTTCCGAAGATAGGGGGACCCTAATATAATATAGTACCCTAAATAGTAGGATCCTTATTATAAGGACCAAATAATTTAATAATGTACCCCTAGTTTTCGGAAACTCCACACCCTAAACCCTAAACCCTTTATAGAACCCTTATAGAACCGTTTAAGGAACCCTTCAAGGGCCTCTTTAAAGGCACCCCTAATTCTCGGAAACTGAGTGCTTAACTTCGCTAAAAAGGGACCCCTCAGCATTTTCGGGCCGAGGCGCGACCCCCACGACTCCCCTTTACATTCCCACTGAGCTAGGGTTTAGGGTTTAGGGTTCAGGGTTCAGGGTTTAGGGTTTCCTTCTGCCTCAAAAAGAGAGGCTGTGAAAAATTACCGACTAAATCATGTTGGGGGTTCCTTATTTAATAAACCACCGAAGCCCGATGTTTTGGGGGTTCCTTATAGTATAATATACCCCAAAACCCTGGTCTAATTGTAGGCTGACACCTCGTAACCAAGTAGCAGGACGTCACCCAGAGCAGGGAGAAGACGCCACGGCTTCCTGACGGGCAATCAACGGTTCGTTGCTTTTCAGGGAACGCAAACAGCTGAACCTCTAGGACTGTACGACGATGACTCTACATTACGAGGATGGGGCCCATTGCCAGGACGCACAAAACTCGCACATGATATAGGGGGCTTGAGTTCGAATCATTGGGTATGTCATATTCGATGAGTATAGGACGATTATAGGGATAGTGTTGCGAACTACTCGGCCCTGTATAAGCAGACCCTAAGCCCCAAACCTTGAAAGCTTAAAGCCTGAAAGAACGACCTGAAACCCTAAACCATAAATCTCAAAACCCCTAAACCCAAGCCCTTAACCTAGAACTCTGAACTCCACACAGTAAGACAGTAAGACCCCTTATTTGGAGGATCAGGGGACTTAGTAAGTAGGGTTATAAGCACCTTAATTAGGGTTACAAGCAGATTTCAAGTCCCATGATCTTTTAAGTACTCCTAAAACCCCTCTGATACAGCCATTATGGATCCCTGTTTTAGGAACCCTCTAAGGAGCCCTGGTTACTAAGTCCCTTGATCCTTTAAGTGACCGCCTCATCTGGGGCCATTCTGGCTTCCCTTCGCTTCGGAGCGACGGAACCTGCGAGACGCCCAGAGCCTCCAAAACCCCTTAATCATGGAATATACCTTAAACCTTATTAGGGATCCTATCATAGTTTAAGGTATATTCCTTAATTAAGGGGTTTTGGAGTCTCTGGGCAGGCAACAGACCCGCTTCAGTCGTCAGGCTTTGTCTCTGAGTTGGGGTTTGGGGTTTAGGGGTTTGGGGGTTTAGGGGCTTTGTATCCGTTTTTTAGGGTTCCTTAAAGGGGTCTACAAGGGCTTCTACAGTGTTTCTATACGGGCATGATGAGCATAGTTCTCAAGAGTAAGATACCTCCTAAGTCCCAAAATAGTACGGCGCTCTTATAAAACCCAAAAGGGACCCTCGCTACATGTAGGGAACTACCCATAAGGACACGAGGCCACAAATACGGACCGAATAGGGGTCGAAGGAGTAATATCGGTAGTTCTGTAGTTTAGGGTCCCTTTTACAGTCCTTGTATAACTGTGCCGTACCATTTTGGTGACGTGAAAAGGGATACGAAGTCAGAGAACTATCCCTGTAGTAATTTGCAGACCGAATTCTTCTCATTCTTGAGGCCACAAAAATATGGAGCCCTGTGTGTAACCCTCAAAAAGAACATGATTCTCGTTGTGCTGATGGCAAAGTTGAACAGTTAACATCGGCCTAGACCCCTAAATCCTACACCCTAAATCCTAAACCCCAAATGCTACACCGTAAACCCTAAAGTGTAGGGAATAGTGCTATTCAGTGTGCCTGTGTGCGCGCGAGTGGATCTACTGTTTGAGTCCCTTATTGTTGGGTCCTTAAGAGGTCTAAGGCCCTAACTA